ACAGCAACTTAATCAGTCTTCCAATCAAATTCAACTGCAAAATGGTTCAACTAAAGCTAAACAACCAAGTACTCAAATAATAAGGGATACGGAACCATCTCCCTTACCATGTATGCAACAAAACTACAAAGTTCTAGATCAGCTATGCATGAATTCCCAAAATTCCCAGGAAATCAGAATGATTAGGTTGAGTTTGAATCACAACTTAAGCTTGATCCAATCCTAATTGCCAACTTTTACCGCTTACAAGCGGATTTATGACAAAGTGTAACAATCATAATAACAATTTGAAATCACAGATATTACATATACCTTTCAATTCATTCTTCAAAGTAAAAAATAAAAATAAAAAATCTAACTTTATAGGTAAAAATTTCTTGCTAAAAGCAAAACAATAAAGTTATAAAATTTAATTAAAAAAAACTTTCCTCTTCCATAACTCTCCCCCCTCCCCAAAAAGGGAAAAAAAGGCTATATTTTTATGTTAATTCAATGCTAGTTTCCACAGCAGCGAAAAAGAGAGCTTCCACGAATCGATCAAATCAAACTAAAAAGACTCGCGATCTCGATGAACAAATAAACAGCGCAAATTAATAATACAAATACACTCGATTTTCATGGAATTAGCGATTGGAATTTCGACCAAACTAATTTGAAAATTCAATTAAAAAATCTAAAAAAAAAACACACACAAAACATAGAGTATAAAGCGATCTAGGAATGAAACCTGAAATGAATTGTAGAGAAACGAAAGCGAAAAGCAGTAGAAAACGCAGCGATCTACGTCTTGAAATTTCAGTCATTCTCTCAATCTCTCTCTCTCTCTCGCTTGGCAGAGAAAGAGGAATCGGTCTGTTTCGGCCTACAAAGCGTATTTTGGTTGTTTTTTCGAAATTGTCACTGACAAAGACTCTGTATTTTTCAATTTGGCCCCTGTAAATTTTAATTGTTTCAAATCGAACTTTCCCCCTCTGTTGTTACCTTCTTTTCCCCACCCTTTTTCCATTTAATGGCAAGTTGGTCCCTTAATTGTAAATACTAAATACTCATTTTTGTAAAAAAGAGCATAAATTAAAAAAATTTTAAATTAATTAAAAAATTTAATTTTTATTATATTCAATCAAGTTATTATATTTTTATTTTAAACTAAACAAATTTTTATAATTAATTAAAACGTTACATAGTATATTAACATGTTATAAGAAATGAGGATGTGATATACTTATATAGTATGACAATATGACTTGTAAACTTTTCATCTTTCTTGTTAAATGTCATAACAACATTACGTATATATAAAAGTATTAAATAAGATTTTGATTAATGTCAGTTAATCAACTAATGATCATAAAAATTTATTTAATTTCAAATAAAATTATAAAATTTTATAAAAAGTAATACAATAATAAAAAGTTATTTAAATATTTTTATAACATGTATTTGTTGAAGACTCAGTATATTGTTTGGTAAAGATGAACAAAACTAAACCAAACTAATTATCTACTCAAATTAAATGCGATTTAGGTAAAACTATTCAATCTAATTGATCTATTGGATTAATTGGTCCAAAATGTTTAGTCGAATTGATTTTTGAATCAGTTTTCGATTTTAAAATTTTTAAACCAATCCACCCAAAAAACTAAATTAATTTTTTATAATATATTTATATATGTATTGTTATATATAATATTTTTTTATATATTAAGAAGAATTGATAGTTAACTTAATTAATAATATATTTAAATATTAATTTATTATATGTATGTATATAAACTATAATCATAATAATTTTATTTATTTATTTATTTATTTATAAATCTATATTAATATGAAATTACAAGTTATATATTTTAAATAATATAACTTATATGTTAATATTATAATATATGATAGTAAATATCTTATGTATTAATATGTTATAATTATTACACTTTAGTAATATTTTATAATATAAAATGTTATGAATATATATATATATACATATATAAATTTGTATAAACATTATGTATATAATTTATACATAAGCATTATTATAACTTATAATAAATTTTATTTATATGATTACACTTAATAACTTTATTAATAATCATCTTAGTTTTTATAACATATTGTTTATAATTAGTTATTATTTATACAAATTTTATATAAAACATTATAACATATAAGTTTGTCATTAATTTCATATATACATAATAAAGTAATATTATATATATATACACATATTTAATTTATATATAAATATTACTATAACTTATGATAGACTTTATTTATATGATTACACTCAATAAATTTTTTAGTTGTTGCTTTAATTTTTATAACATATTATTTATAATTTATTATTATTTATACAAACTTTGATATAAAAATTAAAATATTATAACATATAAGTTGTGTCATTAATTATATATATAATAAAATAATATATTATATATATTTATATTTAATTTATATATAATTTGTATATATTATAATTATGGATCAAGTTTATAAGTTTTAATATAATAATTTGTTAAAAAAATGATAAAATTTTAGTCCATTGGTTTAAAACTAAACCAATTAAACCAAATCTATATTTGATCAGTTTGATTAATTTGGTCGTCATTTATATTTAATTAATTTTGATAGCTTTTTTAAAAATATTTAATCTATTTAATTTTTAGATATAACGAATCAAATTACCTAATCCACCAATTTGCTCACCCATATTATTTGAAATGAATAGCTTGAGTTGTTAGGTTCAAAAACGTTTTAATGGAATTAGGTATGAACTATAATGAATATGAATGCTTACCTACAGAATTGTCCAACTTGGTTTCATTGTGGTGGTCCAGGTACCTGAACTCGGCCCATAAGTCGGACTGTTTGGAAATATATATTTCGTTTAGTTAATATTTTTTTTATTATCCATTTTTTATATTTTATTTAATTTTTTATAAAACAATATCAAGCAAATGAAACCATTTACATTAAAATTATTACTATTTTATCAATAACTTAGTATATGGTTATATATATATATATATATATAGTTCTAATCTTAAAAAACTTCCATTTTGGGAATCAAAATCAAATCAAAGATTTATGGCAAATCTTAGTTTGCAGGGTTCATTTAATACGTGATCTTGATCTTATGCATTACTCTGCATTAGCTATTCATTTTATTTGTTTATTAATTAAAGTATAAAAATTAATTTATAATTTTTGTCAGATAAAAAATATATGAATCTAAATTTTTTTAAAGGATAGTTATGTCCAAATTTGTGTTATTTCCTTTCCCTATTTTATCTTTTGGGTGATATGTCAACAAATGGTCACATGCCTAAGGGAAAAAAAAAAATCTTTTGCTTACAAAAGAATACCAAATGCATATCATGCTTGGGGATATTTTTCAATTAATATCTAACCACATGAAAAATGAGCCCAAAAAATCTGGTTTTCTTGCTAATATATCTTTAATTAATTTATACTTCAAATCTTCAATAATATTTTTTATATATACTTGTGTTTGGTCATAACCACTTGCCAATTTTGTAAGGGTATTAACTAATTCATACAATTTCATAAAAAGTCAGGTACATGATAAATATTAATTAAACTATTTAACGAAATCTGATTGATATAATTTTATTATTTAATGAAATGTTATCGATATAATTTTGTAAAAGTAATTATAAATAAGGGGCATTTTAAAAAATAACTCTTAAAAATAAAGTATTTTCAAAAATAACATCTTTTATAATTTTAACTATTTTTAACCAAGTTGGACAAAATCATTCTTAATGAAATTACACGTTATGATGTTACACACCATGTACAGAAATATATTACACGTCATGGTTAGGTTGTTATACGTCGTGTATAAAAACATGTGACATGCCATGGTTAGGTTGTTACGCACTATATACAAAAACATGTGACACGCCATAGTTAGGTTGTTACGCGCTATATACAAAAACATGTGACACGTCATGATTAGGTTGTTATACGTCATATACAAAAATATGTAACATGTTATGGTTAAGTTATTACATGCCATGTACAAAAAAATATGACACGTCATGGTTAGGTTGTTACATACCATGTACAAAAACATGTGACATGTTATAATTAGGTTGTTACACGCTATGTATAAAAACATGTGACACGTCATACCATGTATAAAAATATGTGACACGCCATGGTTAAATTGTTACACGTCATATACAAAAATATGTGACACGCTATGGTTAGGTTGTTTTACGCCATGTTAAAAAAATACTATTGTTACACGTTATATACAAAAATATGTTACACACCATAATTAAAAAATGTTGTTACACGCCATGTTGAAAAAAAATACTGTCATTACATGCTATGTTGAAAAAATATTGTTGTTACACGTTATATTTAAAAACATTTTGTTATACTTTAATGCCTATACTATTATTATTATTTACAAACTAAAACTTCAAATCCTCTCAACTCTTTTTTATTTTTTTTTGTTTCTTCAACAATTTGGCACCGATTAAAGTGCTTCTAACATATTCTTATAAATCAAAACACAAATTTTCTTATCTAAAATATCTATTTTGTCTAAAAATCGAAAAAAAATTTCATTGAAAACCTAAGTTTATAAATTTTAAAATTTTGAGTTTATTGGTGTTTATATCCCAAATTGATCCAATTAAAAACTATTTCAAAGATCTGTGATCATTTTTACTGTGTAGTTTTATTCAAAATACCTAAAAATTAAATTCTTCAAATAACCATCCACTCAAGCACATCAAAACCATCGTTTAGTATGCTGGAAAGAGAAATCTGAAAGCGCGAAAGAGAGAAATCGGGAGTATAGTAGACGAATGCAAATGGAGAAAAATTGTGATGAATAGTTTAATTTATTTGAAATAGTTTCAAAAATATTTTTGTCAAGTTATGACTAAATATGACTAAAAATAATTAAATTTATTTTAATAGTTATTTTTAAAATACCCTTATCAAAAAAGGTTATTCCTCATAATTTTCTCTATAAATAATTATCGATGGTCTATAAAATAGTTGGGTATTCTAGACAACAAAAGATACAGAAGAAGAAACGGTAGAGGAGAGAGAGATCATTAAACATGGCTACGAAACCTGGGATTCTCACTAACTGGCCATGGGAATCACTTGGGAACTTCAAGGTATCCAGGCTTCATTTCTCTACAATATTATTTGTTGCATGAGTTAAGATTAATTCGTTGAATTTTTCATTTTCCTTTGGGTTGGAAATATTGATGATTTTTCACATCGTTTTTGCATGTTTGTGTAATAGTACGTGATCTTGGCCCCGTGGTTGGTTCACAGCGCTTATTCATGGGCAACGAATGCAGGAAACGAGAAGGACCTTGCCAACTTCCTCATATTCATATTTCTCACGACAAGAATCCTTCACTGCCAAATATGGGTGTCTTATTCCCGTTACCGAACTGCCAAAGGAACCAACAGGATCGTTGATAAGGGCATCGACTTCGAGCAAGTTGACAGAGAAAGCAACTGGTCAATCTCTATACTCCATTGCTGTTTAATTGCCTGTGATCTTGGCACTAAAATGCAGAAATTGATGGATATGTTTGGCAGGGATGATCAGATCATATTAATTGGAATTATATTGTACTTGGGAAATATGATACTGCCAGAAGCATCTCACCTTCCCATATGGAGATCAGATGGAGTTATAATCACAATTCTACTTCATACGGGTCCTGTCGAGTTCCTTTATTATTGGCTCCACAGGGCATTGCACCACCATTACCTCTACTCTCGCTACCACTCCCATCACCATTCTTCTATAGTGACCGAACCCATTACTTGTAAGTTGCAGAACTATGCAATCATCATTAATTTCCCATATGATTTCGAGCATACATATTCTTTCATTTGATTAATGCATCTGCAAATTTTTTTTTTCCTTGGCAGCGGTAATTCACCCATTCACAGAAATAATCTCTTACGTTCTGCTCTTTATGATACCAATGCTGACAACGATCTCAATGGGAACAGCTTCCATCGTATCATTATTTGGTTACGTAACTTACATTGATTTCATGAATAACATGGGACACTGTAACTTTGAATTCATCCCGAAACAGGTCTTCTCAATCTTCCCTCCACTCAAGTATTTCATGTACACTCCTTCGTAAGTATTTGACTAACTTTCTCACTTTTCTTAAATTCGCAATTGTGTCTAATTTTTTCAATTGCAAAAACATTATTTTTCAATTATCACATTATTTTTCTGATAATTTTGAATCAAATTTTGACATTTGTTTATAAAATGTCAAGTTATTGTATATATTTGAATGTTTGATTATTTAGTTCTATATCAGATGTTTGGAACTTGTATCATCTTGATATTAACAAAACTTCTTTTTGACCGATTACAAAAACAATATGCAGATTTCATTCTCTCCATCACACTCAATTTCGAACCAATTACTGCCTTTTCATGCCGTTTTATGATTATATTTATGGAACAATGGACAAGTCTTCCGATGCTCTGTATGAAGCTTCGTTAAAAAGGAAAGAAGAATCACCCGACGTTGTACATTTAACACATTTGACCACACCAGATTCCCTCTTTCATCTTCGTCTAGGACTCGCTTCCTTGGCCTCCAAGCCCCACCAGGCTCCCACCATGCTCGTGTGGCCCGTCACGTTTTGGTCTGTGTTGGTGACTTGGATTTACGGCCATGCCTTCGTTTCAGAGAGGAACACCTTCGAGAAACTCAAACTACAATCTTGGGTGGTACCAAGATACAATATGCAAGTAATAAATTAACCAAAACATACATTTTTCTCTCCATATTTTTTTCATTAATTAATATGCATATATTCAATCTTTTCACAGTATCTTTCTCGAGGACAAAGAGGGAAAATCAATAACTTAATTGAAGAAGCTATATCAGAGGCAGATAAGAAGGGAGCTAAGGTGCTGAGTTTAGGGCTTTTGAACCAGGCATGTTTCTTCTCTGTGTCTAGCTATAATTTCGAAATTCTTCATTTTCTTAAGGCTTTCAAGTTAATCAATGCCAGTTAAAATATGCAGGATGAACAGCTTAACGGGAATGGAGAGCTCTATATCCAAAGGCACCCTAAGCTTAAAATCAAGGTCGTGGATGGAAGCAGTTTGGTGGCGGCTGTGGTGGTGAACAGCATTCCTGAAGAAACAAGGCAAGTAGTTCTGAGGGGCAAGCTTTCTAAAGTAGCTTATGCCATAGCCCTGGCTTTGTGCCAAAAGGGTGTCAAGGTTGCTGCATCGAACGATGATGAATATAAGAAGCTGTTAAAGCACGTAGACAAGTTTGGAGACAATTTGATTCTTACAGAAAGATATGATCACAAGGTAAACATGTGTTGCTTGTTTGCAAAGAAAATTATACTGAAATATTCAATTTTTTCACTTCACTTTTATATTTTGCAGATATGGTTGGTGGGAGATGGGCTGACCCAAGAAGAACAGTTGACGGCACCCCAAGGAACAATATTCATTCCATTTTCCCAATTCCCACCAAGGAAAGTTCGCAAAGATTGCTACTACCACAGTACTCCGGCCATGGTGGCTCCCAAGTCTCTTGAGAACATGCACTCTTGTGAGGTTAGTGCTGGGATTCATTCTTATCTTAAGATGCAAGATTAATTTCAATAAATTAATTTTTCTTTCTTAATTAAAATGATGCAGAATTGGTTGCCAAGAATGGTAATGAGTGCATGGCGAGTGGCAGGGATAGTTCATGGTTTGGAAGGATGGGATGTTCACGAGTGTGGTCACACCATTATTGGGATTGAGAAAGTTTGGGAGGCCACTCTTCAACATGGGTTTCGTCCTTTGTCAATCCTTGCTTAGAGCCCTGAGGAATAAATATCAATATATCATCTATATTCAGATGATAACTAATAAGATATTTGGAATAATCTTTGTATTTTGTAATTTATTGTAATGTTTTTGAAATTGCTATTAAGTGGCATAATGCTTGAAACAAGTTCTTACGTTATTAAAAAAAATTCAAATAAGCTTTTGATCAAGCTCTTGTAGTGTTATTTTGGGTCAAATAAGTATTTATGAAAAATGATTGATTAATTATTTTTAGTCAAAATATAATTTGTTATTTATATTTATGTAACATTAATGTAATGGATGAAAAATAACACAAGATCATACTATCATGTCATATCAGCATGTCACATCATCATTTATAACTTGTCATGTCAATAACTTGATATAAAATGATAAGTAGTATTTTAATTAATAACAATTAGTTAATCTTTAATTGAAATCTATAAAAATAAAAGTATAAGTGCTTAATTGAATAAAACAAAAGAATAAAAACTTATCTAAATTTTTTTAAATAGTTAAAGAGTTTTTTTAGATATTATATCATTATAAATTCTCAATAGATTAATACTTTTCATATGATTGTAAGTGATATTTTGTTAGAATATATGTAAATCAGTAAATTACTACATTGATTCTCTTAGAAGGTTGGGTGTCGACATTAATGACATATTTGTGAGGCAACGTTGATTTGGAATCTTTTTCCTTGTTGGATGAAGGAGTTAAGAAATCCACCATGAAGGCAAGGGCGGATTCAAGAATTTTTTTGAGTTTTGTCATAATTAAAATAATAATTAAAAATAAATATATTAAAATTCATAAAATAGAAGTTTTAACATTAAATTAAAAAAATTTAAATTCAGTACATTCATTTAATACTTTAAAGTAAAAATACTTAAAAAAAGATAATTATCAATGACGATTTTTTATATTTTAAAAATATTGTATGATAGTATCATTGACCCTTTTTGCACATATGCTCTTCTAATTTCATCTTGATTATTAGGATGATACTCAAAAAAATTTTTCCTTAACCTAGAATCTGTCAGAAAAGTATTTAAATCAAATTTAACACGATTTTTCTTAGATGATTGTTGACTACAATTATTAGTAGAATTTTGTTGTTGTTGTTGTCCGGGACCTGATTCTTGTGAGATAATATATTTTCTTTTAAAATATTTTTCATGGCTTATATATTTAAAATTATAAAATCTTGTTAAAAATTTCTACTCATTTGCATAAAGTAAAATATTAGAATTAAATAAAACACGATCTTATATAGCAAATTATCAAGTTCAACAACTAATAAGAAAATAAGTTTTTATTCATTGATCAAAACTAAATATAACAATCTACAAATCACAGAAAGTTAAAAATAAAAATCAAATAATTAATATCTACAAAATAAATAAATAAAACTAATAATTTCAATATTATAATTATGAATCCAAACTATCAAATTAATAAAAAATTATTTAGATATGAAATATTTAAAACTTGGATTGAAAATTAGTTATAATTAAAGTCTAATTGAGTTATTTTGAGAAAGTGAAAAATATAGTTAAGAGGAAAGTCACTGTAGATCTCAAAAGTAAGACTAGAATTTTTCAAAAGGGAGAGTAATTTAAGTTTTAATTTTTTTAATAAAATTTTAAATTATAGAAAATTTTTTTAAATTTAAAATTTAAATATTAATATATAAATTATTTTTTGATAAATCTATTTTTGATAATATTTAAATTTTTTTAAAATATTTAAATATTATTAATATATAAAATTTTTAATAAAATCTTCCTTTTAACCTATCTTTTTATAAAATTATAAAAAAATAATAAATTTATAATATTCTTAAATATATAAAACTTTTTAAAAAATAATATAATAAATAAATTTTTTTGAAGTGAGTGGTGTCACGGACACATGGGTCGGCCCATGCGTGAAGGTTTGGATGAAAACTCTAGAGATCGGCAAGAGTTGGAACATATATTTATTGATTCCTGCGATACCAGGTTGGGTGTTTCTTTTGATACTAGGAGAGTCATGCGCTCGGCTTTGTTCGCCTGCAACAGTTCTCTGACAGCATTTAAACCTTATCCACTCACTTACTGGGACAGCCGGACCAACCATACCAATCAGCTGAAGCCTGCAAACCAAAAATAATTGCAACAGAGTTCATAAATGATGAATAGTAGTTGGGTCACCATTTACCTGCAACTCAGCTGAGTTTAGCTGGTGGTCAGGAGGGGACCTACGTTAAGACAAATTGCGTCACATGAAATCATTTAATTAATTAAAATATTAAAAAATTTTACTTACTATATTATTTAATTTAAAGTTTAATGTAAATGAAAGTAAATTTATTAAAAATATTAATATTTAAATATGTAAATATTATTTTAAACGTTTATCTTGGTGTCTTTTCCGATCTGTGCATATATGCTGACTTGTGATTGTGAGCTTGGGTGCTGTCGGTTTGAATGCTACTCTAATGAAGCCGATGGGATGGCAAGGCTGGTTGGTTTCTGTTCTGTATTGTAATGGGGTGGTGGTTGAAAGAATCCAACAGACATTCCTGGACAGATATGCCGCTGGTATTCAGGAAGAAATAATTTTTGTGTAATTGCTGAATGGTAGGTACCTGGGAAATGTGTATTACTTCCTACAATTGAGAGGGCTAGGGTTAATGCTAACCTCTCTATTGTACTAACATTTCTATGGCTTATCCAATAAGACAAATTGTCTTATCACCTCCTTTAATTCAGATGTAGTCATCTTCCTAACTCTCAAACCTTTACCATTAATTGTTGACAGCAGCCATCCCACACCAAATCATCTAAAATATAATTAAAAAATGAGATTATATTTAATACAGTGACAACGGGTTATTGCTAACCTCTCTATTTTAATAATATTTCCATGACTTATCCAAAAAGACAAATTGTCTTATCGCTTCCAAATTCAGTGATTGTCTTTATAATTAAAACCAAACTCAGTCTTGAATGAAAAAATTGATGCTTTAATTGTTCATAATGAATTTTAAATTTTGATTGATGACTTTTAATTTTCACATTAAAATAGATTTAAAAAAAAAAAACAAATACAAAATGTTGTGAAATTGGTACATTGAGACCTGACACTGTTATCTAATAAAAAGATAAAAGAGTCGCAAGAAAAATTAACAACAAAAAAACTAATAATTAATTTTCAATGGAAGATGAATGAACTAAGGATAGAGATTATGTAATTCAATATACGTTAATTTGGCTTGAATTTATCGAGGGATGATATTTTGAATTAAAAGCTCTTCGATGGGGTCATGTTAGATGGAGTACCCTTTTTTTCCTTGTCTATGGCTTTTGTCTTAGAGAGTTTTTTCTGTAACAAGGTTTTTAATGAGGCTTTCCCATCATGTCTTAGGGATAAATTGTGGAATGGGATAGCTTAGAATGCTATATTGCATTAATTTGTTAACCTAGTTCGGTAATGAAAGTTAACTAATTTTTAAAAACAATTCCATGGAAGGAAAATTATGAAAAATTAACAACTATCAAGTGGTTAAGCATACTTTGACTTTGGTTCTCTTGGTGTCTTTACTAGACAGCTGATAATTCAGATGCAGTATTTAGAAGATAATAACTTTAGTTCTTTACCTTTATCTTGGAAAATGAATTTTAATTAAATTTACTTTCTTTTTTATTTTTAATTTTGGATCAATTTTTTTTATTGATTTTTCCGATGGCTCTCTTATTTTTTGATTAAACATCAGTATCATGCCTCAATATAGCAGTTTGATTATGAACGATTACAAACACTAGTTTTTCCATTTCAGTTTTAATAGAGTTTGAGTTTATTCAAGTTTTAATAAAGTTTGAGTTTAATTATAGCAACAATCAGTAGATTTAGGTTTCTAATGGACAAAAAAGGAGAGAAGAAGATGAGATTAGGTGAGAGAGAGTTGGAGAGAGATAAAATCTTTTTTTTTTGTTATTTAATATATATATATATATATATATTTATCTTTCTTTAAAAAATTAAAAATATTTATTTTTTAAGTCCATCAAAGAATTATATTTATTCTTTTGATAAAGTGGCATTATCTCTATCAATGTATCAAATATAATCTCTTAAAAAATTGATTACTAATAAACAAATAAATAATTACAAATTACTCAAACAAAAAAAAAATACCCCGTAAACAAAATTCTAGTATATATATAGAGTAGTATTGGAGTGTTAAGAGCTTAGTGAATATACGAAGGAAGATAGCTAGTTAAGGGAAATATGGGTAGTAGGCCTGGAATTCTCACAAACTGGCCATGGGAGCCCCTGGGAAGCTTCAAGGTATATCGCACATGCACTTGTATGTATCGCACGGCAACTTGCATGAAGTATTAAAAGTCATTTTCTTTGTTGACGGCACTTACTCTTTTGTGAGGAAAGGAGCAAAGGAGGCAGACCTTTCCTGCTTCCTTGTATTCCCATTCCTTATGACAAGAGTCCTTCACAACCCGATATGGATTTCTTATTCTCGTTGCCGAACTGCCAAAGGAAACAACAAGATCATTGATAAGGGCGTCGACTTTGAGCAAGTCGACAGAGAAAGCAACTGGTCGATTAAATTAATTAATTTGTTTCATTCTATGTTTTGTTTTTTTTTTGGTGTTTGATCCTGATAGTCTGAAATTGATGGATGGATGGATGGATGGATGTATTTTGGCAGGTAAGACCAAATCATATTAAGCGGAATTGTGCTGCATTTACTGAATATGATAAAACCAGGATCGTCTTCCTTGCCAGTATGGAGACTAGATGGAGTTATAACCACAATTCTTCTTTATGCGAGTCCAATTAATAAACATGATTCAATATTTTTTAAGTAATAATTAGAATAATTAGAAGTATTAATCTTTTTTATCATTCTAATGAATCTCATAAATTTTCTTTGACAGCGGTTATTCATCCATTTGCAGAAATAATTGTGTACTGCCTATTCCAGTCATGGCAATGGTTCTAAAGGGAACAGCTTCCATCATAGCATCATTTGGTTACAAAGTTTACATTGATTTCATGAATAAGATGAGTCACTGCAACCTTGAACTCATTCCAAAATGGGTTTTTTCAATCTTTCCTCCTCTCAGGAATACCTCCTTTTAAGTTATATATATATATATATATATATATATACAGTTTGCTTTCTCGTTCTTAATTTTGATTTTTTCTTCTTAACAGATAGTATTTGCATGGTATTTGTTCAGAAAGATTTTTTAACATTAATTACACATGGTAGATTTCACTTAATTTCGGACCACTCTCCATCACACTTAATTTTGGACCAATGTCGCTTTATGATTACATTTATATATGATTTGTACGAAACTTCGCTGAAAAGGCAAGAAGAGTCCACGGCAAATTCCATCTACCATCTCCTGTTAGGATTTGCCTCCTGGACCTCTCCGTTTGAGCCCCAAGCTGAATCCTACCTAAAAGCTTTGTGGCCTATGCAAATTTGGTAAGTGTTCTTGGCTCGCATTTCTGGTCATGCGTTTGTATTAGAGGAACACTTTCCAGAAACTCAAACTTGAAGTTTGTATGCGAGTGGCTGGGATCGTTCATGCTTCGGAGAGATGGAACCTTAACGAGTGCGGTCACACCATTTTAAGCGTCGAGAAAGGTTGGCAGGCTGCCTTTCAACATGAGTTTCTTTGTCGCTGTTCGCAGTTAATTAACCATCCTTTAATTCTTATATAATATTATTTCTTTGTAATATTTTAAAAAAAAAACTAATGATTCCAATCAATAAGTACTATTATATGGGAAATTAATAAGATATAAAGATTTAGTAGATAAAATTAATTCTAAGAATTATGAAAACCTTTCCTCCCTTTTACAAGCAAATTTATGTGTTTGTATGGAAAATAACTAGTCATTTTTTCCTTGTACATTATTAATTTGTCTTACATTTATTATTTGACGATACATTATCAGATTAGATAAAATAATATAACTCATAAATAAATCAAAAATCATGACAATTTCAGACAATGAATATCACCCAATTTAATATTTTCTTAATTTTTTGGTTTTGACATATAACTAATTAATTATAGCATTGTAGTACTATACATTCTAAAATGTACCTAATCTAGAAATAGGTTAAAACACTATATATTAGACTTGGCTCCTTCCTTTGCATAATCCTAGGCCTTGCAATTTGAGCTTGGGCTTAACCAGATGGCTACTATGTCTATGATGTTCATATAATAAACAAAGGCAAAACATTTAAAAATGCTTTTACTATTTAGAAAAATTTATAATAAGTGTTTATTATTGCATTTAATGAAGTTTTTATATTTTTATTTTGAGTCGAATAAGTTATTTTACTTTTATTTTGAGTCAAATAAGTAATTATCACTAATGATTGACTTAGTTAAAATATCAGTTATCATTTTTTACTGCATAATGCTGATGTGGCATATTAATATATCATAATTAATGATGATGTAACATGCTGAAATATTATAATTGATGATAACATTATATGATAATTTGGCATAATAATATGATTATGTAGTATTTTTCACCCTTTCACATCAACTATATATTAGTATAATGTGGATATAAAATGACAAGTGATATTTTAACTAAAAGCAATTAGTCAATCATCAATTATAAGAGCTTATTTGAATCAAAATAATAGTATTAAAACTTGATTGAATGAAATAAAAGAATAAGGGTTTATTTAAATTTTTTTAAAAATAATTTATGGACTTATTTAAGCATTATACCACAAACAAATGAGTTAATTAAACTTTGAATGGTTTATAATTTTAGGCTAAATTTAATTAAAATGGTTTATGGGTCACTCCTAACTAATTATGTTATTAAACCAAAAAAAGGTCATTAGCCGTTATATGGAATCCATACATGCTTACCAAGGTAAATTGCTTGTAGAGAGCTACATGCTCTTTGGGACAAATGATCATTGACAATTGGCTCATATGTTATAAACCCAAAGAAATATTGAAAAAGAATTACACATTACATTTCATGTTTTAAAATTTATCAATCATGTTGATGCATGTCATGTTTAAAAAAATGCCACATGCCATGTTCAATAAAAATTTTACATGTCATGTGTTAACATATGTTATTTTAATATATTTTTTACACGTCATGTGCATTAAAGATGCATGACGTGTAACAACAAAATTTAATTTATTAGCATTTGTCAAGAAAATTCAGTTTGTGTAAGTTTTCTTATGATCTGTCAATCTCGTCATGTCACTCTCACTAACAAATTGTTGTAAAAATTGAGAAACAAATGAGAAAACTAATGAAGCAAGTAAAAATAGAAAAAAGTCTGAGGCATGATTTTATTGTCTTTAAGGATAATTTTCGTCCCTTTAGAGTATGAATTTTTGTGTAAAAAGACTGTAGTGGTTATCTTTCAAGATTCAATAGACCCTTTTTTATTAGTTTGCACCAACTAATAAAGGATAGACGGAACAATAGAAAGACTTTTTCTAAAAAAAAAAATCTACCGAGAAAACAAAAAAAATAGAGAAAATATGCAGAGAATCTTTAAAGGAGATAAAAGAACTATTGGTGTATTGTGACTTAGGTATAGAGGTTGTATTTATAGTCTAGAAATAAAATGATCATTGCATCAAATCAGGAGATCCAACGTTAAGTTGAAGTAAACATTGCATCAAATCAAAAGAGTTATAAAACTCAGTCAACATGTAGGTAGAGTTTGAAATTGATTCAACTGAAAAAAGTCAAAAGATGAGAAAAAAAATATAACCAAAGTATAAAATGTTTACTTGGGCTTAATCGACATGTGTATTCGTGTATAGGGGGGAATCTGAATTTTCTCAAGGCCTATCCTATTCCTTGCAACAAGCTCATAATTGTATCTCCCATCTTTTTCAACTTCAACTAAATTAGTTGGGAAGAATAAACAAATTAAAGAGGGTATTCATCAAAGTCTTCCTCACACGATTTGCTTGAGACAATTGTGATGGTTAAGAGGAAAAGAGAAACTAAAATCAAAGGTCTAGTTTCGTGGCGTCGTTACTGTTTGTTTTCTAGTTTTTGAAATAATAAAATGCAAAAAGCGTGATTATATATAAAAATGAATAAAATCTCAAAAGATTAGATGCATGATTTTTATTCTTTTATAGATAAAAAAATACATGATGTTCTAGAATTAGTATATTGTATTTTAATTATTTATTTATTTTAAATCAATTACGGTATTACTTTTACTTTATACCTATTTTAAAAAAAATATAACGCAAGAAGTAAGCAACAAAAGCATCAATCAAACGGAGATATCAAGCTTCGATCCATCTTTTTGGATTTGGAATTTGGATATAGGGGTAGAATAAGAATTTGGGTTGTTGATGCAAAAGCACAAGAATAGGTAGACAAATTGAATGCTTTCCCTTCCTTGAAGCACCGCATGCATCATGAGGAAAGTATGGCAGAATAGTGGGGGTTGCAAGGGGTTCGTGTTTTTTTTTTCCAGCTCTGAAAACGTGTTCCTGTATTTCATTGCCGCATTTAACATAAACATATCCCCAACAAACCTTGTGATGCTTTTCCGGGACGTGGTAATCGTGGTCTGCCACCAAGTAGTGTATTGCTTTATAAAGTGTTGGCCTTGGGGGTTGGAGATCGGACTGCCACAGGAAGCTGTAGAGAAATATGGCAACCAAACCAGGATTTCTCACTGACTGGCCATGGAAACCTCTTGGGAACTTCAAGGTCCTTGAGATCGATCTCCATGTTTATTTGCATTTGTTAAAGTGTGATTGGAATTGTATAGTATATTTACTGATCACTGCTAGGACGCATTGTTTGCATGGTGCAGTATGCTCTCTTGACTCCATGGGTGATTCACAGCACTTACTCTTTGGTGATGAGTAAAGGGGAAAAGAAGGCAGACCTTATCTACTACCTCATATTCCCATTTCTTATGACAAGAGTCCTTCACAATCAGATATGGATTTCTCTTTCTCGTTACCGAACTGCCAAAGGAAAAAACAGGATCGTTGACAAGGGCATCGACTTTGAGCAAGTTGACAGAGAAAGCAACTGGTATTAGTCAGTAATTAGCTCTAGCTAATAGCTATGTTATTCTTCTCTTTCGATTTGGGCCTGATATTCTGAAATGATGGATGGTTGGCAGGGATGACCAAATCATTTTGAGCGGAATTCTGTTCTACTTGGCAAATATGATAATACCGGGAGCATCTCACTTGCCCCTATGGAGATCAGATGGATTTATAATCGTTATTCTACTTCATATGGGTCCTGTGGAGTTCCTGTACTATTGGTTGCACAGGGCACTGCACCATCATTTCCTCTACTCTCGTTACCACTCCCATCACCATTCTTCCATTGCCACTGAGCCCATTACCTGTAAGCTACAACTTTAATCCATGTCATGGTATTAATGAATTCCAACGCAAGACAAATCAGTGATACATGGTTCTTTTTTTGCAGCGGTCATTCACCCATTTGCCGAAGAAGTTGCATACTTCTTGCTCTTTGCAATACCTTTAATGACAATGGTGTTCACCGGAACAGCTTCCATTGCAGCAATATTTGGTTACACAACTTACATTGACCTCATGAACAATATGGGACACTGCAACTTCGAACTGGTTCCAAAGTGGGTCTTCTCGACCTTCCCCCCTCTCAAGTTTCTCATGTACACGCCTACGTAAGTGTTACCATTTGATCATATGCCTAAATTTCCTGAATTAAAACTGTTCTTTTCGGTAGCATGATCACTGACGATTATTTTTCCAGGTATCACTCTTTGCACCATACTCAGTTTCGGACCAATTACTCCCTATTCATGCCCATGTACGATTACTTATACGGTACTGTGGACAAGTCCTCGGATGATTTGTACGAGACTTCACTCAAAAGGCAGGAAGAGTCACCAGACATCGTACACCTGACGCATCTAACCACGACAGACTCCATCTACCATTTGCGGCTCGGCTTTGCTTCCTTGGCCTCCAAGCCCTACGCTTTCAAGTGGTACTTCACCATAGCGATGTGGCCTGTGTCATGTTGGTCTGCTGTCTTCACTTGGTTCTATGGCCGTACATTTGTTTCAGAGAGCAACACATTCAATAACCTCAAACTGCAATCTTGGGTGGTTCCAAGATACACCATGCACGTAAGAACAATATCATGTTTCTCTCCTTCCTTTTACCCCTCTATATCTTTTTCTTCAGATTGGTGTACTGACAATTTGATTTACATGATCGTTTTCCCAGTACCTCTTGCAAAGGGAGCAAAAAGATCTCAATTACTTGATCGAAGAGGCTTTGCTAGAAGCTGATAGCAAGGGAGCTAAGGTGGTGAGCTTAGGCCTTCTGAACCAGGCATGCTTATGCTTCCCCAATCATCATTCCCTACTCCAATTACTACTTTAATTTCATACTCCTTCGAACTAAATCAATGCTAATTATGCAGCATGAAGAGCTTAATGGGAATGGAGAGCTCTATGTCCAGAGGCACCCTCAGCTTAGAATCAAGCTGGTGGATGGGAGCAGTTTAGCTGCGGCTGTGGTGGTGAACAGCATTCCCAAAGAGACAACCCAAGTTCTCCTAACAGGCAGGATTTCTAAAGTTGGTTATGCCATAGCCCTTGCTTTATGCCAGAAAGGTGTCCAGGTGCTTCAAATTTTTGTTTTTTATTTTTTTGGAAATCAAAAGGTTTCATTTCTGACACAGGGAAAGCACCCTGGTGATTACAGAAACAGCACTTGATTTTAAGATGTTATGCCCAAACCAGCATATCATCTCGAATCAGGTCTGTCAATCAACAAAAATCAAACCCTTACAAACATCCCCTGACCTCTATGTACAATTAAGCAAAATCAACCAACCAAAACAAACACAGTGCATGGGATTCCATTCATGGTTCCCTGTTCCACCAGATCATTCAAATACAAAACCAGAAATATGCACTCAACACCATGATTCAATAACTCGAAAGCATCTGAACTTAACATGTAAGATCAGCTCTTCACATCAGGTTCAGCAAGCGAGAAAAAACCATCAAACCTGGCCTTAATCTCTCTGATGAGACATAAAAAGTAGGGCCTCCAGAGCTGTTCACATCATGTCGTCTGACTCTATCTTTTGCTAAACTATCGGCTACTTGGGTTTTTTTTTTTTCTCTCTAAAACTGCTCATTAACACATCAAGATCGCCCAGGTTCGGCCATGAGACAAACTCACAGAGTACAAATTAATTTTGATGATGAGGCAGGTGGCTGCAATGAATGAGGATGAATACCAGAAGTTACAGCACAGTGACTGCCAGTTTGGTAACAACTTGGTTCTTGCAGAAAACTATTACCAAAAGGTAAATTTCATGAAAAATTTGGTCCCAAGCCCCCAACGCCTAATCTCATTTATGGAATCAGGAGAGGTTATAATTAGAAAACTTTTGAGCAGATATGGTTGGTGGGGGAGGGATTGACAGAGAAAGAACAGCTCAAGGCAACAAAAGGGACAGTGTTTATTCCCTTCACGCAATTCCCACCAAAGAGACTGCTCAAGGACTGCTACTACCACACTACTCCTGCCATGGTGGCTCCAAAATCTCTTGACAACATTCACTCTTGCGAGGTTAGTATATACATGTACAGGTCTATTTCCTCCTATTTAGTTGATTTTATTTTTTATTTTAATTTGGCACATTATAAACAATAAAAATGATGACAGAATTGGTTGGCAAGAAGGGTGATGAGTGCATGGCGGGTGGCTGGGATCATTCATGGTCTGGAAGGATGGAACGTCCATGAATGTGGTCAAACCATGTTTAGCATGGACAAAGTTTGGGAGGCCACTCTCCGCCATGGGTTTAGGCCTCTGTCACTTTCCATCTAATTATGGCCCCTTGTCTCACAGAAGAACAATAAGAAATCTCCCCACGCACATGGCGTTTATGTTTCGTTAAATTTATCAGCAATTAATTGGACTTTATATTTATAAAATTCATGCTTTTTCTATCCATATATGTAAACATACGTGTTCTACATATATATATATATATATATATAACTTTTTTTAAATAAATAATATTTTTTATTTTCCATAACCTTTAAACTTAATTATGAAAAACGTGAGAAATTGAATTTAGACATAGTGCAATACATGACGAAATACTAAACTCCTTTCTCCTTGGGCTTTAACAAAAAACCTCTTTAATATATAAAAAAACAAGTTGTAGAACAAAAATAGGCACATTCCGAATCCACATTCAGACATCTGACAAGAAAACTTGATTGTAATGATATCTGAATCGAACTCAAAAATGAGACAAAAGGAACAAAGGTTTATATGGTTACTATTTGGTCCATCTGAATCCTGAAATAGTGAAACACACACAACTCTACCAAAAGACTGAAAGGCAATAAATAACAATAGTAAACATAAAGCTTAAGAGATAATTTTATCACTTGAAGCACTTGGCATCCAAAAGAGGCTCTCCCTCGAATGGCTCGCAGTCTTCAATCATCTGACTGACGCGTTCCTTCTGGGCTTCGTCTGAGATGTCAACTTTCTTCCACTCGTACAGTTCCATGTCATAGCACTCATCGAGGACAAATTGGGGGATCTCCTGTCCACGGAAAAGCCATAATCCCTTTACTTTGAATGGGGGCTCAGAACCAATCACGAGCATCTTCCCAAATGCATACTTGCGTGCCAAATCCATTCGCTGCAGGAATCCCCCTACCTTGTTCATGGTGACAAATGAGACTGTATTCTCTTCATTGTACTTGTAGTTGCAGAACCAAAGCGAGTATCCCTCGGGATCATACATGTCCCAGAATCCTGTAATAAACAGGGAATAAGTACACGAAACACGGTACAAAAGATCTTCATTGAGATGATAGTATTATAACGGAAACAACAAGGATACCTTTAATTGCAACCTCACGGAAGTTGGTCTTTGTATTAGAGTACAGCCTCTTCCACTCATCCAGTATCATCTTACTTGGAGGCAGCAAATCAAGAGGATTCTTTGGTTTGGGCTTTGGTGCCTCTTCCTCCTCAGCAGCCTCTGCCTTAGCTGGTTTCTCAACCTCCTTTTTGGGTTCTTTCTTTGGTTCATTCTTGGCCTTTGGTTTAGTTTCTTTTGGCTGGGCAGCAGGCTTCTTTGAGGGAACAGGTGGCACGGACTCTGCTTGCTTCACTTCACCAAGAATCTTCTTGAAATTTGGTTGATTAACCAGGGTCCAGAAGTACCTCTCAACATGAGGGAACTCTGAGGTAAAGCTCTTAGTCATGATCTGGGAGAAACCCAAATAGAGGTTGCATGTCATGACAATGTCAGCAAGGCTGACTGAATGTCCAACCAGATAGGTGTTGGAAGCAAGGTGAGTGTTTAATGCGCCCAGTGCTCTCTTCAATGAAGCAATAGCATGTTCCTCAGCCTACATGCAAAATATTCACAAAAAAAAAAATTGAAATTTAAGTCAAACTAGAAGGTCAAAAATGACAAAATAAAAGGAAAAGTGTGCTCATGAGTGAATTTATAAAACATAAACAATTTGATTCCTACTATAGATTAATAAATTAGGATGGGAGAAAGCAAACATCTTAATCTCTTCAAGGTAAATTCAAATTACAAAGCCAGCCTGGTTGATTAATCAATTCGATGGGCATCTTTTGTACCATAAAATTAATTTGATTTCTACTGCTTGTGTGCATCCCTGTCCAGACATTATGAACAGAAAACACTACCATCATTACTGCTTGTTGTCATACTACCTTTACAATCCTCATTAAAATTGTATAAAACTAGTATATTTTTTCCCTTCACTATTATTTCCTTAAAAAGTTGTACTTAACTGACTTTACTCAGTCCTAGTCTGCATGCCATGTAGACTAGCAAAGTACAGTTTCTAAAATATCAAAATCTGATTGTATATTGTTTATAATCGATATTGCAATAAACAAAAGAAGTTTTTTATTACAGAAATAAATCGACAGATAAGTTAACTGCGTCCAATTGTAACTTGTGACCTATTCTCTTATAATAGTATAGAATCAAATACCAATTCTGATCTTAGCAAATAAAGCCCAATTAAAATGATGAAAGAACTGGGGAAAACCAAAAAAAAAAAGCCTCAAAAACTACAGTAATATAACTTACTAGAGGAAGGTGTACACCATATCCAAGTCTTGGATAGAACCATTTTGCAATATTAGCATCAATTTCCATGGATGCAAAATCAATCCACTGCTCAATACGACCCTGAGAGAAATTTAGCAAATATATACAAACAATAAGTTCAATGGTTTAAAATCATCTTAATTGATGCCAGAAGAACAACAAGAATCGTGGTAGTAAAGCTTCTTACATAATCGATCAATGTAGAACCATATAGAGGGTTGTCAGCCTTTATGCGAGTAACTGCAGAGAAAAGTAAGGATACCAAAAGTTTCAAACAAACATTAGAGGAAGAAAACGTAGGATATTGAGCCAGCATGTCTTCTTACCATAACGAGCAATGGCATTGCTCTCAAATACAGGACCCTCAGGTGTTTCCAAAACAGGAACCTAGAAAGGTAACAGATTTTATCAGCAAATAAAAAAAGGTTTGAATATAAAAGTATATTCCTCACCTATAATTAATATATTAACAGGCATGTTTACCTTCCCAATAGGGTTCATCTTAAGGAACTCAGGAGATTTATTTGTGACACCCATCTCAAAGTTTTCAGCTAATTTGACCTCGACATCACAGTATTGTGCAGCAATGAGTGCCTTGAAGGCATTTTTGTTGTTCTTTCCCGCGTGCAAGACCTGCAAGAATATCAAACAACCACATTAGTCAATAAATAACCACAATGTTTAAAAAATTAATTCAATTATCAAACACCACATCCAATCCCTACAGAAAAACACTACTAATCAACCAACAAAAACATATATATATATATATATATATATCACATGAAAAAAAATTTCACTCTGAAAACAAATAGTCGAATCCTAGAGTCCAGATACAAATATTTAATAAACCAAGATCTACTTTCAGCAACACCCCAAAAGAAAACGAACAAAGATCCTTTTTTCCTTTAAGAAATTCTTTTAAAGATCTTAAAAGATAATCATTTTCACATTTCAAACTACTTGAGAACACTTAGCATCTCCATCTTTCTCTTTCTGCTGGTTAATCGCAATTCATATCGAAAGTACACTTAAAAATCCATTTCCGATTGTTATTAATATCATTAAATCACTCAACTATTCCATTGAATTATAATACAAATAACACAAAACATATTCATTTTCTACTTACTATATAGTACACATCCAAAACTGCTACTTTACATTTCACTTCGAATTCCACTTGAAAATCACTTCTTTTGATTCTCTTTAACCGTTGAATTAACCAAAAGCAACGAAGTTAAAAAAAAAAAAAACTCACCAGAGCCATGGCTTAATTGGAAAGCAGGGAAGCTCTGATTTCAGATCTGCAAACAGAATGAAATTAACATTAGTAACAATCTCCTCACAGAGATGCTTGTTTCCCATCTATTAAAGTGAAAAAGAAGGGAGGAAGAGAATGAGAGAACCTTGAAGCCGCAGCAAGCAGGAGAGAGTGTGAGAAGAAGAGGGAAATATAAGAGGCGGACTAGGGTTTTTGTAGAGTGGGCAAGAAGGGGGCATATGCGTTAAGAATCTTTTTGGATCGGTTCGGATCCGGAACCGGATCCAATTTTTTTATTATCCGCGATTTCCAAATTTTGGACCTGATTTTTTTTTTGGTTAAAAAATATCTTTGAATTACATTTTATGCGTTTTTGTAATTAAGTTTTTATATTTTTATCTTCTTCAATTAAATTTTTTTATTTTATTTATATCTAATTGAGCTTTTATTTTTTTCATAATTATATTATGTAATAAACCTTATTTCGTAAAGAAAATGTAATGAATTTATTCTCATTTCTCAATGACAATTATCAATTATATAAGTGAAATTTATCGTGATGTGTTAACTAGATACAAAAAAAGAAAACTAATAATATAAAATTTATTGTAAACATTAGACTTCACATATATAATAAATGACTCAATTATATAAAATAAAAAAAATGAAAACTTAGTTGATATAAATAAAAAAAAATATTTAATTGAACACGATACAAATATAAAGATTTCACTACAAAAATGTAAACAAGATAGGTCATGAAAATTTTAGAAGAACCCTTTTATCTAATAATTCTTTAATACAAAACTATTACTCTTTCCGTTCATTTTTTTTCTTTATCCTTTGTTTTTATTTTCATGAAATTAAAATAAAAATTATAATTTGATTATTTTATATAAAATTTTAAAAAATTTATAACATATGTAGTCAATATTTTTTAATATGAAAAAGAAAAAAAATAAATTTATAATATAAAAAAGTAAAAAGATTTTGTGTCTTAAAAAGGAAAAAAAAATACTGTGGGATTAAAACAAACGATTACCAACATATCATAACAAGCATTCGCAGTGAAACACCAGAATCACAAAAGCAAATTGACAGACAAGAAATCTACAGGGTTCTTAACAGGGGGCAAAATCACTTGAAAGAACTTGGCATCCAAAAGTGGCTCTCCCTCAGAAAGGCTTGTAATCCTTTCTTAAGCTTCGAAGTTAGTACCAATCTGTAATTCTTCTACCTGGCTCAGAAACAGCAATCCTGTTGGTAAAGCTTGTGGCGAGGAGTGAAATTAAAAAGAAACCATCACTCAGAGTCAACATCAACCCCTCTTTGCTTCAGAAAGTACTTGGCCTCTGCGATATCCTATAAAGCATACCACATATTATGGAACCACAGAAAAACAAATTACACCAATGAATTTGATCTCTCAGTAAGACAAATTTTGATTATCGTAACCACCAATTTATTAAACGTTTTCGGAAAGTGTTATGAACTGGGCAAATACAGTCTCGGGTTGCTTTTAGCAGATACAAAATAAAGTTCAAGTCCCAACCACATTAGACGATACATTACCATCCTGCTCAAAATATTATGAGGAGAACAAAAGGAGAGGAAAGGAAAAGCAGAAGAGATTCATCATTTATTACCGATGAATAAATAGAACACTTGTAATGATAATGACCTAAAATGACCCATCAGCTGATCGGTTGAAAAATTGGGAACTGAAATACCTGCTGCAGCAGCAATGCTTCTTGGGGGCACGTTGGGAATCCCATTAGACCAACACCAACCATTAATAAACCATAGCATCCCAGTGACACAATAAAGTAAATCGGTAGCTGGAAAAAGTTACAGCAATAGTGCAAAGTAAGTGGTAAGGCATTAGAGCAAGTGGATACAAATAAAACAAGAGCATCAAGGCATAAAAGGAAACTCACCAACCAAGTATGGCTTCGTGGTATTATGGATGCCTGCAAGAGGCCAATCCAAAGCCCAGAGATGGCCACCAGTAGAGAGAAAATCTTCAAAACATGCTTCATCGGATTGGCAATGATAATTAGCTCACAAGTCCTGATTTTATTTCAAACCACTTAAAACTTTAAACAGATAAAGACAGATGGTATTTAGGTAAAAAGCAAAACGCTTCATACAATCAAGTGATGTATAAAAGACTCAAGTCTCAACAAATATAAATCATTTTGATAAAGATCTATTATGCAGCCAAAAACGAAATTAATGAGCAATTCATAAAAATCTTTCATTTCGAACCAAATACCAACATTTCAAAAATAATAAATTGAACATAATGCATGAAATTCGGATGCATCCGAGGGCTAATAGTTCTTTTATTCATTTTGGTGACAAACAAGCCCATTTTCAAAGTGATTGATAAAGTACTACTGAAACATATAGCTTGAAATTATTAACTCAATCTAATCCCTTCTTCTGCTATCTGACTTTTAACATACAGGTATTTCCTCGGTTCATATCTGTTCAAGCTGCTAACAAGGAAGCTTAGGAACAAGATAGGAGGGATGGTTAACAGTAAAGTCAAATTGCATAATTTCCCACTGTAATTGTTCTTTATTGGATCTGTTTTTGTTCCAAGAACATCTAGCCTGTTAAAAAGGACCAGCATTTGTGCAAAGCTTAAAGTCGCAAGCAAAGCAACCAAAACAGAACAACTACTTAAGCCCCTTAGATTAGTTCCTTAGTTGATCAGAACCCTTTTACTCTCCATGAAACCAAAGGACTACATCAAGCTTTTGATGTGTGAATGCAAAAGGAAATTATTTCCACAAGTTTATATCACTTGAGAATCTTAAATCAATTCCCTTGTTGTGCTTAATCACAGAAAACCAGTTTTCTCATAGATACCAATAACACCTAGAAGAAAATCAAAACAAGAGGTCCAATCTGAAGTGTTGAATTAAAAGAATTATAGAACTCTAATTTTCCTTCTCTTTTCACATATTTTCCATGGAAATTGGTCAAAAAGCTCTAAAAATTAAAATTCAACAAAAAAATTGGTGAATCAGAGTCTGGGTTTACCTTCGAAAGCAACGATTTCTTGAAAGCGATCAAGGAAACTCCACAGAGAGAGGATCCGGACCAACTGTGAAGCTCGTAAGAGTTAGGAAGACGGCTGTGATCGAGCAGTTGTGGAGAGAGAAAGAAAGAAAACTGAAAGAGTCGTGAAAAACTGAGGAAGGCAGGAAGGTGGCGGGGTGGCTGGTGGCGCCGCTGTGACTTCCGCTGAGATAAAATGGTCAACGAAATGGTAAAAGGAAATACTACAAAAACAAAACATGGGCCGAGACTCAGATTAGCCCAAAGGACTCAAAACTCGAGTTCAGATGTTATGGCAGCCCAACCCGTCGAGCGAAATGGCAAGCTTTGCAAAAAGCAGAGCCTTCTCCATTTTCAGCCATCACTATCAAATTCCTGTCTTTAAGCCATCACTATCAAATTCCTGTAGCTAATAATGCAAAGTTGTGGCTGTTCTGGAATTTGGATAGAAAGTTGAAAACTGATCATTTGGGAAGTTTAGTGCCAACTGCATGCAGAAAATTTCGCTAGGAAAAGAATTACAAGCTGAGGGGCAGATCAAGGAAAAGAAGAAGAAGAAGCAATATGGCAGCCAACAGCACCACCATTCCTCTTCTCGTTCCCTATAAAATGGGAAACTTTAACCTTTCTCACAGGTTTGTTTCGTGTGTAATAACAAAATATTGGTCAGTCAAATGATCCTCTGTATGTGATTCTTAGTCTTTCTCTCAATTTTCTTCCATTGATGCTTTAGTATGCAAATCTTATAGAACAACATATGCATTAAGCTCACAGAACTTGTTGGGTTAAAAAAGAATGATCATGCTGCTAATTTCTAGTAGTGTGTAAAAGCAATGATATTTGTGGATACAAAATTTGTGGTCCTGTATCTGCTTTTAAAGCTTTTGGAAAATGGTAGTGATTGACAAAGACCACCATTGCAGAGATATTTTGAAGGTTTTCTTTTTGGCCTTTCATTTTCACGTGAGTGCCATGCCCCATGCATGCTTTACTAATATTATCACTCTTACCATCTCTTCCTCCACTCTTGGAAATATTTTTCCTAGCAACTCATTTGATTCGAATTGAGTGCAGGTCGAACAGGTCTTGTTCATGTGTAATTCGAATTGAATTCAAATAGAGCAGGTCTTAACTCACCCTTGCTTGAATATGAAATATATTAAAATAAAAATTTTTTTCTTAATTTTGGTAAAAGATAAAAGCAGAGGAAGAAAACATTATTTTACATGTAATTAATAAAATATTATATATTTTTTTAACCATTTGAATTAATATTTTTGCAGGGTGGTTTTAGCACCATTGACAAGGAATAGATCTTACAACAATGTTCCCCAACCACATGCCCTCTTGTATTACTCCCAACGCGCAACCAAGGGTGGATTTCTCATTGCTGAAGCAACTGGGGTTTCCAACACTGCACAAGGGTAATTTATTTCTTTTCCTTCATTTTTTTTTTTTTTGAAAAAAAGTGGGTGTCGACGGTACTTTAACACACTTAAATTATGGTGTTGCATTGGATTTGAAGTTACCCAGACACGCCTGGAATTTGGACAAACGAGCAAGTGGAAGCATGGAAACCAATTGTGGAAGCTGTTCATGAGAAAGGAGGCATCTTCTTTTGTCAAATTTGGCATGTAGGTCGAGCCTCTAGCTATGGTAATGTGCATTAGCATCTTCGTTTTGCCCTTGCAAAAACTCACAAAACAACCCCAAAGTTCAATTATTGGAAGGCATTGTACTCTCTGATTTAGAGTTTCCATGAGAAAATGATGATTAATCAAGTACAATTTTGAAATGCAGCTTTCCAGCCTGATGGTCAAGCTCCAATCTCATGTACCGATAAGGGGGTGACACCAGGCCTTGATGGGATGGATTGGTCACCTCCTCGTCGGCTCAGAACCGATGAAGTCCCCGGCATTGTCAATGACTTCAGGCTGGCTGCGCGAAACGCCATTGAAGCCGGTGAGAATTACCCAATTTAGGCAATTACATAATCATGAGATCTAACTCGAATTGTATTTAATAAAAATGGTTTTGCATCAAACAGGATTTGATGGGGTTGAGATACATGGTGCAAATGGTTACTTGCTTGATCAGTTCATGAAAGACCAAGTAAATGACAGAACAGATGAATACGGAGGAAGCTTAGAAAACAGGTGCCGTTGTCCCCTGGAAATAGTCGAAGCTGTGGTGAATGAAGTAGGAGCAGACAGGGTTGGAATGAGACTATCTCCCTTTGCCAGTTACATGGAGGCTGCTGACTCAAACCCTGAAGCACTGGGCCTTTACATGGCCAATGCAGTTAACGAGTTCGGCATCCTTTATCTCCACGTCATCGAGCCACGGATGATCAAAATAAATGACAAGTATGAAACTCCTCACAGCCTCCTACCAATGAGGAAAGCCTTCAAGGGGACTTTCATTGCTGCTGGAGGGTACAATAGAGAAGATGGTAACAAGGCTGTTGCTGATAATTACTCGGATTTGGTTGCCTTCGGACGATTGTTCTTGGCTAATCCGGATTTGCCAAGGCGATTCGAGCTGAATACTCCTCTTAATAAGTACAATCGCAACACTTTCTACATCCCAGATCCGGTCATTGGCTACACTGATTACCCATTCCTTGAAGATTCTTTTTAACCCAAAAATCATCAACCAAAGGTTACAATGTCTACCCTAATATCATGCTATTATATTTAAGTTTTCAAAATAGTTTGGATTCAACTGATTTGGGATGTCTTTGGATCTCTAGTATAAGTTTATTAATTGAAATTTTTTCAAAGATGGATAATTTATCCAATAATAGCATTGTTATTTTTTTAATAGTAATGATTATTTTATTCATAATCAAAAGCAACATAAGTGTCGATTTAAGTCTGTTGTCCTGAACAGGTCAACTGCAATCTCCTATGGGCTTTACAGTTACATTCAACCTCAATATCAATCGTTGTTATTGGTAGTATGAAGTTTGACTGGAGTGAACAAAATGTTTACTTGTACTCCAACCTTCCATGAAAAACAGAATCCATACAACAAGGTGTAAATCCAAGCACATTCCATCTTGAAAAATGATCAATATGGAGTTATATATATTAGTTAGAATTTAAAAATGGAAAGAAACAAAGAATCCAATGTACCACTTTTGTTTATTTATACTTCAAAACCTTTTCTAATTGCCATCTTTCGGATGTGCTCAATGGCGGCTAACGCTAGCCACCAAGCAGAACCAGGGGTAGTTCTGTAGCTTCAACCAGAGTTAGACGAGCCAATTGTATCTATCTCAAAATTCAGTGTACAGAAACATTTTATATCTTGGGGAAAAGGTTCAGTCTTAATGCTACAAATTTTATATTTGGGTCAATTCCCTTTTATTTTTATTAAATTCTAGCTGAGGTGTAACTCCCCTTCAAATTTTATATGTTTATACCAAACATTGGTTGATTCATACTACTAAAATCCTATTGATTAGCAGTCAGTGTCTCTTTTTCTTGTTCCTTTTTCAAGTTAATTTCCCAGGATCTTCTCAGTGTTATTTTATTGATTGTTGCTTAATCATGGTAACCTGTTGTTAGTCTAACAACAATTGTATAAAACCTCGAGTGAGGAAATGGGGCAGTGCATGCAGAAAGGAAGAAAGCCGAAGCCCCTGAAGGAAAACAGAAGGAAAAGAAGAAGAAAAGATGGAAGCCAACACCACCATTCCTCTGCTCAGTCCATATAGATTGGGAAGATTCAACCTCTCTCATAGGTTTGTATTTCCAGCAAATATATTTCGTTTCACTCTTACGTACAGTGCTAGTTATTGCTGTTCTAGTCTAAGACAAACTTCCCCAGAAAAATACATTCCTCTGCTTGTTAATCTGATTAATATGCAAAATGGTTCCTGCAATTTTTGCTAAAGTTTTGGTGATTGACAAAGACCCTTCCATGATTGGAGGAAGAGAATTTATTGGTTTTTTAAAGCAAATATTTTCGTAGAAATTAAAGATACTATGGCTTCAATCCAGCCTTAATTAAAATGTCTGCAATGATTATTCTCATTCTGATTTTAGCTCTGAAATAAAACAATTGCAGGGTAGTTTTGCCACCATTGACAAGATGTAGATCATACAACAATGTACCCCAACCACATGCGATCTTATACTGCTCTCAACGTGCAACCAATGGTGGATTGCTTATTGCTGAAGCAACTGGGGTTTCTGATCCTGCTCAAGGGTAATTCTTTTTCCCTCCACCTCTTATGTTCTTATCATGGAAGTGATGTATATGACAGAAAAGTGGAGATAGATTCAGTTCATTAACATTCAAAAGATTTTGGTCAGAATTAAAGCAGAATATTAAGAGGTTTCCCTTCATTTTTCTTCTTGTGATTTGTTTAGAAGTTAGAACACTGATTATAAGTTGCATTTTGACTTGAAGTTACTCAAATACACCTGGAATTTGGACAAAAGAGCGAGTGGAAGAATGGAAACCGATTGTGGAAGCTGTTCATGCCAAGGGAGGCATCTTCTTTTGCCAGATTTGGCATGTTGGCCGTTGTTCTACTTATGGTTAGCTTGAAGTTCTATGTACACCTATTTACACCTTGCATCTGATACTTATTCCTGAAGTGTGATTCAGGAATCAGGACCCATTGGTATCTGATATTCTGATTATATTCTTTTTTTAAAATACAAAAAAAAAAAGCAGCTTGGACAAGGCTAGGGGAAGGAAGAAGATGGAATCCTGAATCTTATCCTCGGGTGATTACATTTTAAAAGTAAAAGAAGTTCCCAAATCGGCTAATTGACAGCATATAATTTCTTAATGCAGGTTATCAGCCTAATGGTGAAGCTCCAATCTCTTGCACTGACAAAGGGGTGACACCAGGCCTTGATGGAGTAGATTGGTCTCCCCCTCATAGATTAACCGATGAATTGTCAATGATTTCAGGCTTGCTGCTCGCAATGCCATTGAAGCAGGTCAGAACCACCTCTTTAGTAGCTGATATATGTAAAACTTTAGGCCTTCTGTTGCTTAATGTTCTTCTCGTTGCACAGGATTTGATGGGGTTGAAATTCATGGTGCAAATGGTTACTTAATCGAGCAGTTCCTGAAAGATGGAATAAATGACAGAACCGATGAGTATGGTGGAAGCTTGGAAAACAGGTGTCGATTTGCACTCGAAGTAGTTGAAGCTGTGACAAATGAAATAGGAGCAGACAAGGTCGGGCTGAGAATATCACCTCACAGCGATTTCATGGAGGCTGTTGACTCAAACCCTGAAGCATTAGGTGTCCACATAGCAAATGCAATCAATAAGTTTAACATTCTTTATCTTCACGTGATTGGACCTCGGATGATTTTAGTAAATGGCAAGCTTGAAACTCCTCACAGCCATCTCCCCATGAGGAAAGCTTTCCAGGGGACTTTGATTGCCTCCGGAGGCTATGGCAGAGAAGATGGTAACAAAGCTGTGGCTGATAATTACACGGATTTGGTTTCCTTCGGGCGATTGTTCTTGGCTAACCCGGATCTGCCAAGGCGGCTCGAGCTGGATGCTCCTCTGAACAAGTACAATCGCAGCACTTTCTACATTTCTGATCCTGTCCTAGGCTACACTGATTACCCATTGCTTGAAACCTCTACTTGACTTGAAATTTGATTCTTACATGTACAAGGAAGAAAAATGTCTGTTTTCTGTTTCTGTAATTGTGATTTTCATGGAAATTTTGGGTATGGAAATTGAAGGGCTGAAGGAGCAAGTGATGAATGTCATTCTCCAAGTGAATCAATAAAAACTTGTTCAAGTTAAGCAGTTATGCTTTATTTTTTATTATTAAATAAATATTATAAACGAATTATAAACTATAACATGATTAATTAAATAAATTAAACTTGTTATATGTAGATTATGCAGGATAAATGAATTTAACTAGTTTAAAACATGACATTGTCATATCTTAAAAGGTATCAATATGTTAGAAACCTATATTTTAAACCCAAATTCGTTTAATATATTGTAATTTTATGACGTGGCACTTGTGGTTCGGACACCAACCCGACGATTGGGGCATACGAGTCTTAACCGCCGTAACATAGCGCCAGTTGTAGGCAATCTCAAGGACTATCATTCCTCAGTGCCAGTCTCTTCTTTCTTCCTGTCGGAGAATTTGCGTGGGCGCTGAGTAGGCTTCAAACTGTGACCGCCGCCAATCTTTGTTTTGCTTCAATCGTTTCAACATCCCATTCTTTCCTTATGAGTTTCTTTTGGCGCGCAGTTCTTGGTGAGTAGCCTTGTTGGAATTGCATAGAAATGCAGTTGAGAAGTTTAGTGCTGTGAAAGGGAAAAGGAAGTTGTAGAAGGAGAAAGAGATATTTCCCATGGCAGGCAAGGAAGCGATGATCCCTCTTCTTACTCCATACGAGATGGGAAAGTTCAACCTCTCTCATAGGTTTGTACTTATCTAACCATGAAGACCAGTTCATTTATGGTGACTTTGAAATTCTGGGTTATGGCAATTCACCATCTCTTAGTGTTTTGATGCTTAAATTGTGTGAAAAGAGGGGATGTTGGAGTGAAAATTTAGTGCCATTTTGGCCTTTAGCAAAGTTTATGTTGTTCTGTTGATCATTTGTTCACTATGAAGCTGCTTTGATTGCAGGATAGTTTTAGCACCATTGACAAGATGTAGATCATACAACAATGTACCCCAACCACATGCTGTCGTATACTACACTCAGCGTGCAACCAACGGCGGTTTCCTCATTTCTGAAGCCACTGGGGTTGCTAGTACTGCACAAGGGTAATTTCTTTCGCCTTCAATTCATTTTATATAATCACCCTTTTTGAACTAGTTTAAGTTTTGATTAGAACAAAACTGTACGGGAATTGTCAAAAGAATGCCACCAAATGCACATTATTAACAGAGAATGTAGTTATTCTGAGACAGTCGACAAGAATTATAAATTTTACTGGTCAGTCAGTGAGAATAACAGTATAGTTTCATCTGAACAAGTACAGGGCAGGGGAAATGTTAGTCCCCAAGTGCTTTTGCTTTCGTTATGGAAAATGCTAAAAGACAGTCTCATCTCAGAAGTACCATGATTGTTCAATCTTGTGTAGAGACCCTCTGTGGATGACAGATGCATGTGGATGTCGTGCATTTAGCACATGGATGCTCATGATTACTGACATGCATGTCGGCCAAGTAAATACTGTTGTTATTGTTGAATATAGAAGTGAAATGTAATTCAGTATTTAAAAGATTTGATCTTTATGTATCATGAGCGGTATTCAGGTAACTAACTTTTGCAAATAGCATTGCTTGAAGTTACCCAGACATACCTGGAATTTGGACAAAAGAGCAAGTAAAAGCATGGAAGCCTATTGTGGAAGCTGTTCATGAGAAGGGGGCCATCTTCTTTTGCCAAATTTGCCATGCAGGCCGCGCATCTAATTATGGTATGCTTGAAGTGAAATCTCATGATAGGTTAGCTGTTTCTTGATAAGATTTTGGCACAATTTGGACCTGTTTATATTTATGCCTTTCAAACGAAAAAGACAAGTCTAATATCTAATAACCTATATGTGATGCAGCATTGCAGCCTGATGGTGAGGCTCCGATCTCATGTACTGACAAGGGGTTGACACCCGGCCTTGATGGACAAGATTGGTCACCTCCTCGACGGCTAAGGACTAATGAGATCCCTAGCATTATTAATGATTTCAGGCTCGCTGCATGTAATGCCATTGAGGCAGGTGAGCATTTATCCTGTCTTAGTCAAGTAAATTAGGAATCAGCTTATGAACAATGGTCGATTTTTGTTTTTCATAACCATTAATGTATACAAATAATGAGATAAACAAGAATTTTACAATAGGACACTTAATCTGTTAGCATCAAGTTTCTGCATCTTATGTATATAACTGCATGATTTTGTTTTTTGCTTTCCAGTTCGACCGTACTTTTAAGATTACTAAGATAATACAGAGAGAAACTCTATCCCAGCAGAATATATGCTACCGCTGTAAAATATTAAAGATACTGCATGTTTTGGTTGTTAACCCGAGTATTCAAGCTTGGAAATACCATAGCCTCTGTTAAATTGATTTTATTAGTTATACACGAGGCTAAGAGAATTTAACATTCAACAAAGGCACAAGCTTTTGAAAATCTTAGGATTGTGGTTCAGTCACTAAGCACTAACATCCTTTTTTTTTTTCTTGCATAAATTTGCCTTTTGCTTTGCAGGATTTGATGGGGTTGAGATCCATGGTGCATATGGGTACTTAATCGAGCAGTTCATGAAAGATCAAGTAAATGATAGAACCGATCATTATGGTGGAAATTTAGAAAATCAGTGCCGCTTTGCTTTGGAAGTAGTTGAAGCTGTGGTTAACAAAATTGGACCAGGCAAAGTTGGAATGAGACTTTCACCTTACAGCAAAGGCATGGAAGCTGGTGACTCAAACCCTGAAGCACTAGGCCTTTACATGGCAAATGCACTTAACAAATTTGGTATTGTTTATCTTCACGTAATTCAGCAAAGAGGGAAGGCAATTAAAATAAATGACAAGTATGAAACCCCATATAGCCTTCTTCCAATGAGGAAAGCCTTCAAGGGAACTTTTATTGTTGCTGGGGGGTACAGCAGAGAAGATGGGAACATGGCTATTGCTGGTAATTATGCAGATTTAGTCGCATTTGGACGATTGTTCTTGGCTAATCCAGACTTGCCAAGGCGGTTTGAGCTAAATGCTCCTCTAAATAGATATGATGAGACCACCTTCTACCTTTCTGATCCAGTCATTGGCTACACTGATTATCCATTTCTAGAGCCTTAAGTCCTATATAACCATTTTTTGACATTAAAATACTTTCAAGGAATGAAATTGTAATTCCTATTTACGTTTTGGATATGCTTCTGCTGTTAAGAGTACAGATATGGTCCTTATGGAGATTGTAAGTGTCAACAAGTAATTCTAAAACTGGTAAGGTGAAAATGTTTTACTTTTATGAAATGGATTCTGCTGTCATGAAGTTCATCTGCAAATCCATGATTGATGTTCCAGTGATGCAACTCTGATCTTTTGTCGACTTGGTATACTTGCTGAAGGTGTCTCCCTCTGTGCATATAGCAGCCCCAGGACTTCGAATCTGCGATCCCCATCCATCGAAGACCTAGAATTACAGATGCATAAACCTAGACAAAGCAATGTGCGGAGAGTTTGGCCATGGCAGGGGAGCAAAACGTTGACAGGCAAAGCAAGTATGTATCTTTATGGTTAAGAGTTGGCACACTGATTTCGTATGTAAAATCTAGTTCTTGCATCTACCACTCCATACTTGTCTTGATATTAAAGTGCACTAAATGTAACTATCCCTACTGTACCCACATGCCAGCTACACCCATCATTTTCGTCAAGAACAATTTAAGAAAAACTCAAGTTTTTATTGAATTAAATGTTCAGATGTACATAATAAAAGGTTCGAAGGTATGTAATTCATTTACTTAATATTTATTTTTTGTATAATTATATGTTTTTTAACTCATAAAAGAACCAAATAAAACCTTTTTTTGAGAATTATATTTATTATTCATTCATAAAACAGTTGAATTTCCCATTATACCACTATCATGTAGACTAATATAGAGTAATGCTAAGGGCATTTCAGTCAACATCTCCCATCAAAACCATCATCGCCGCATGAATCAGCGGGTATAATATCACATCAAATTTCCCCCAGAGGCGTAGGCGTAAACGGAATTTTGGGTTTCTCCCATTTGATTTGAAAATCCAGTCAATTGGTTTTCCCAAGCTTTCTTTTTCTCATAGAGACCGCTCCTTGGGAAAGAAAAGGACTTCCCCTGATATTTTCATTTTCTATTTTTATCTTCACCAAGAAAAAATTAAAAAAAAAAAAACCAACGGGAACGAAAAGATGGCGAGGAGACCGGACGAGGAGTACGATTACTTGTTTAAGGTTGTTCTAATCGGCGATTCGGGTGTAGGAAAATCTAACTTGCTTTCCCGATTTACTCGCAACGAGTTTTGCTTAGAATCTAAATCTACCATCGGAGTCGAATTCGCCACCCGCACTCTCCAAGTAAATTTCCCCTTTTTTATTTTAATTTATTTGAACTTCTCTAATGAAGTTTAATTTTGGGTTTTTTTATTTTTAGATGTTAAGATTTAGATCAATTATGTTTAGTTCTAATCATGCAGTAGATCTGAGTTGTTCATTGTTTAATCTTTCCTTTTTGTTTGAATTTCTCTAATTTGCTTGAATTTTTTTTTTAAAAAAAATGTTTAGATCGTTTTTGGATTGAGCTAATCAGTAATGAAATTAACGGATTGATGGATTCTCATGGAATTATGATTGAATTGTGTTATATCAATGAGAAAACTGAATAAAAATGTAATCTTTCTTCTCAAGTCTTGTTTTTTGGGCTTTGTTTCTCGGTCAATCAATCAATTCTTTAGGGGAAATATGAAAACTTGGGATCCCATCAGTTTAGTTGCTTTGGGATATGTTATCAGCCCAAATTAAGGAAATGGTTTTTACTTTTGTGGGCTTTTGTTTACCAATCCAATGAGCCTAAATATTGTAACAGGGTCCTCCTGGCTATACTAATCCACATTTTGATTGGAAAAAGTATGCAAATTTTCTTTGTTACTGATTTTTTTGGATTGAAGGGTATCTTTTTAATGCTAAAATGTTGAATGTTAGAACAAGATATTAAGTTTTAATTTAGTGAATGAGTTAATCGAAACGATCCTTATACATGTATTAGAAGTTTTCACTTTCATATCTCATGAAAATTACTTTGGAAGAAGAAGATGATGTGTTCATTGTTTGTTCTAGAATTGCTGTTATGATCGAAAGAAGATTGGAGATGTCGGTTTTTATGTCGATAATGTTCCCTTCTTTATCTGAACCTTTCAAAAATTGAGATGCACTTGAGTTGCTTGCTTATCTTATTTGTCCGAGACCTAGGCTCAAGGACTGTCATATGTCTGTCTTTCTCTTTGCGTTTTCTCCTGAATGTTAGCCATAAGAAATACACTCGCTGGTCCAATGGTGTTATTAAATGTTCCTAACATACTTTATGTCAGGTCGAGGGAAGGACTGTGAAAGCTCAAATATGGGACACTGCTGGTCAGGAACGGTACAGAGCAATAACCAGTGCCTACTATAGGGGTGCCCTGGGAGCTCTTCTGGTCTATGATGTTACCAAGCCAACAACATTTGAAAATGTGAGCCGATGGCTGAAGGAGCTCAGGGACCATGCAGATTCTAATATTGTGATTATGATGATTGGGAACAAGACCGATCTGAAGCATCTCCGAGCAGTTGCCATGGAGGATGGTCAAAGCTATGCGGAGAAAGAAGGCCTTTCATTCATCGAGACATCTGCACTGGAAGCAACAAATGTTGAGAAGGCTTTCCAGACCATTCTCTCTGAAATATACCGCATAATTAGTAAGAAGTCGCTTTCTTCAGATGAGCCGGCACCTGCAAGTATCAAAGAAGGGAAGACCATCGTTGTTGGAGCACAAGAGGCCAACATGAAAAAGGCTTGCTGCTCATCATCTTGAACATGATCTCTATTCATTACAATTTTCATGCTTCTTTTTGTATTAAATTTGTGTCTCCTCCTTTTTCCTCTCGAAGGCAAGGGTTTTACTGTCGACTCTTTTGATTACTATCATATTTTATTTTGTATCATTACAAATATTTGAAAATATTTTAACTATTCATGTTCTTTGATTGCTGCACTTGCAAGTTAGTGATGATTTTGTCATGGGGTGCAATTGCATTCGGTTACCTTTTATACCCAGTTTTTGTCATGCTTTTTAAGCACCACCAGTATGTATTGTTCGCTTTTGGTTTGTCTCACAAAAATAATTATTACACAACGGATATAAGATTCACGATTTCCCTTTGAAATTCTGACACTGCAACACAAATTTATCCCAAAGCTTCCACCTTCCAGCTTCCAGGGAGTGATGGTGACTGCCCCAATCTACTGCCATCTATGTATTTGGCTTTGAAACCCTTGTGTTTCTTGACAATGATTCTCCCAGGTGGACAATAACCTTCATGGAAATTGCTAGCTGAATTGGGATCTACATCTAGAAGGAATAGGACAATAAATTGACCACTGCTAAACATTATCAACCTCACGAGTGGCTGAGAAATCTGGCTACAAGAACCTTTTATCGGCTGGACAGGGCCATCAGGGAGTGAAGCAGCTGGTCCCAGAGTATTAGGGAGTTAGTAAGAGGCCATTGTTTGTAAATGGTTCCACCTTCATTGGTGTAAAACTGGAAGACATTTTGGCACTAATTCCAGTAAGGTGGACCAGTTTTCCCTTTGTTTTCTGGATTTTCCAGTTCAGCTTTTTAAGCGAATACATGGTAAGTAAATCTAATCTATCAGGAAAATACAAAGATACACATGAACAAGCACCACAACTTCGACTTAGCACTTACACAGAGAAGGGTTCAAGCAGGCAGCATTTCAGTTTCTGAAAGATTCATATGATATGCATCATGTTTTACTTGTCTAAAACAGAGTTAAATCATAACATGGATTACTAGCCACAGCAGTTGCTCTTCTGTTCGATTGGCTGTCCCTTCATTTCGACAGTTCCCGCTGACTTGTTGGCAGTTGGCTGGTTACCCATTCTGCAAAGAATTTGATACAAAATCATATAGGTAAACTTTATAATTAAGAATATGGAAATATTAAATAACGATTGGACAACAATGGGAAATGATTTTCAGTTGATCTGGACTCATGAACTCCAGAAAAAGCATGCAACACGACAGACCAACATATCAAAAGCAAGAGCATCATATTAAATGATCTGAAGTACGTTGAGAACATATTGGTAGGTGACAATGGTAACATCTTACCAATAAACAGTAAATCAATTACTAGCAAAGAGGTAAATAGATCATTTTGGAAATGGGAAGAAAGAAGAGTGAAACTCATTTTACTTTTTCTTGATCTCGCCAGCCATTGTTAAGAAAGCCTGCTCCACATTGATTGAATCTTTAGCACTTGTCTCCAGGAAGGGAATCCCAAGTTCATCAGCAAATGCCTGCAGTTCATTGATGAACAGAATCGCAACTTAATCAAATTATGATGCCTGCAGTAAATTATCTCATCAGGAGCAGCAAAAATTCAATAATTCAGCCAATTTGTCATCTTAATCATCAACAATTCACAAGAAGTTTCAAATGGGAAACCAAAAATACCCTCGGAATCTTAAAGAGAGATTAAAACCTCTGAGGAACCCCCTTGGCAAATAAGACAATGAACTGATAATAAGAGCAAAAACTCTAAAAATAAGATAACAAACCTTTGCTGTTTGTGTGTCAACAACCTTGTTCTCTACTAAATCACATTTGTTCCCAACTAGAAGCTTGCATACACTGTCATTAGCGTATCTATCAATCTCATTCAACCACTGCTTGACATTGTTGAAGCTCTCCATCTCAGTGACATCATAAACAATCTGTTGCAATCCCAATATACAAGGAGGATGTTGAAACGCTTGCAGGATCAAAAGATGAAATAAGTGATATCCTTAACAATCATTTCAGAAGAGCAAACTGCATCATTTTCTACCTATCTGCTGTTTGACATGCTAAGATTTGAAAATGTTTTGATTAATTGGTTGGCAAAAAATTTTTACGAGAAACCTTACTGAAAAAAATTCAATAAGGGGAAGACAGATGTGAACATGATAATGATACTCACCCGCATTCTTGACTGGAAACAAACACTATTACAGACTCAAAAACACAAGTTCCAGAACAAAACACTCAAAACAGCATTTCGAAAGCCAATAATACTAATAATCATTATTGCAGCCCCCATTCTCTTTCACCACTCAAGAATTACATAATAACAAAGGTACTTTTGGGCTCACATCGCAATTTGCATAATGAAACAAACAACCCCAGAATATTGACCATAAGTTTATTATATTTGCAAGAAAGACAAAGGAAAATCAATTAACAGATAACTTGATGATCTGAAAGTGCTGAGCAAAAAGAATAAAATAACTTGATGATCAAATTTGTTTGAAAAACACTCCCACATCCCAACCCCAAGGTCTAGTTGGGATAAATTTTATGATCCTCAAATCAGTTGGGTTCAGTTTCTTACTATTATCCCATGTGCTCCTCGGTAATAGCTGCTTGTAATAGTCCGAAAACGCTCCTGTCCAGCAGTATCCCACTAAACAAAGAAACAAGAATAAAATGTCATATATTAACTGAAAGCCAACTAAAAAAGGGGGAAAAATACTTTAGAGGGGAGTGATGCACAGCTCTTCTTCAGTAATGTTTCCAACACCAGACAGCTGTGGTCAAATGTGAGAAAATAATCAAATTGGATTAAGAAAACAAACTTGTATTATAAACACCTTCCTATGGGTCATACACTTGACAATTCCTCCATCAGTGTTACAAAAAACTCTAGTGATTTAGATACGTAAGCCATAGCTTACCAGCAAACTAATAAAGAGGAGCATCTCTGCTCAATCATTTATAAAAAAACCCATCTTATCAGTAAAGAAAAACATTAGCTGTGGCCCTTTTAGACAGTAGCCATAAAGCTAAAAGATAGAGCATAATTCAACATCATAATCTAAATAGTAGCTTATTTTTCTTCCCAAACAACAACTTGACTTAAGAATCTCGCAAGTCCATACAGCTTTCCTGGATGGCACATGAAATCAAGAGAGTTAAAAGTCCCAAAAAGTTTCAAAAAGATTAAAAAAAAAAAAAAGCTTGAAGATAACAACATTCAAACAAGGTTTGAGCAGAATTAAACTTCGAAAGAATGAAATTACAGGCTTAAATGAACATTGAGTGCAACTGCATTGTAAATAAACTTTTAAAAAAAAAAACCTTTCTGTGAAGAAACATAGTATACTCACAATTTGCAGCTTGATTGTCTTGCCATCCAGCTCCACAGTTCTAATTTTCTAAATATAAAAACAATTAAATAAATTTCAAATTTTGAGTCCATGAAACAAATTCCATAATACATATACAGAAATATTAAAATGTAAAAAAAAAAATTGTACGGAGAGAAAGGTACTAACGAAATCAACACCGATGGTACTGATGTAGCTATCCACGTAAGAATCATCCTGGAAAATTTTTTTAAAAAAACACTTAAAATTCTTAACCTTAATTACGCTAAGATTAACCTCAAAATCAAGCTCATTAATCACTCTACTTCTTAATTTACAGTTTAAACTAAAAAGACAAACCGACAATCCAAAAACAAGTAGCAAATAACAACTTAAAAAGAAAATTTAAATAAAGAAAAGTCCCACGAGAGATTACTTACAGCGAACCTCAGAAGCAAACAGGATTTTCCGACGGAGGAGTCGCCGATGAGCAGAAGCTTGAACAGATAATCGCTACACCAAAAAATAAAAGAATAATTATTCTTTTGAAAGAAATGTGAGCAGAAACCAAATGGAAGGGGAAAGGGAAGCCGGGCTCACTATTCGTTGCTCATGATTGCGAAATTGAAAAACAGGAAAATCTTTTGCGACGAATTGTGGTCTGTTTGTCAGAGGAAGGGAAAGTTTCTCTTTTTATTGCAACCGAAACCGCAGGTCTTTTCCTATTATTTATTTATATTAAAATTTTCATTTTCTGAATTAATTAGGTGAAATGTCGGAAATAACCTTAATGTGTGGAATGGGTACATAGGGGGTTGTCATAGTTTTTAATTTCTTTCGTTTTCGTCCTTTGGGTAAAATTACTAATAACGAAGGAATCATGAAAGAAATAGTAAAATAGGATAAGGACTCGATTCTATTGAATTTAATAATCAATAAATTCTGTATTTTTGAAGTTTTAACAAGGGGGTTAAGTACCCCAATTTGCAAATCCCTTGCTTCTATTCCCACATTGTAATTAAATATTTACTCTTTGCTCTTTTAAACTGGTTTTATTTTCATCTCTAGTAATATATTTTAATTTATAAATTTTAGATATTGAAACAAAATTTAGTACAGAAAGATATGTCAATATAGGTCTTTATCGAAAAATTCAAACCAAATTATTTATAAAAATCAAATTATACCAAATATAGAGACAAATTTTGAATTGATGTTTTATTATACTTTCTGCAGTTGCATATCAAATGAATGAAAACGTTACAGGGTCTGGCATCATGGATGCATAACAATTTGCAATGGAGAATTTGTCCATGCCATATATCTTCACCTATTTTGCCTTTTGGAAATAGATGCACACAGAAAAGGATAATTTTCCCATGAAACAGCATCAAAAAAAGGGAATTGATGAAGGGGAAGAAGGCCAGGAACAAAATTGTGAAATCGATCACTCTGGGCAAAAGGGCCTGTCCGGGCCATCTCTATGGCTTGGGATTCTGAAGTGCCTTAGCCTTCCCTCTTGTTTTTTCATGTACCCTTGACAGAGAAATGCCATGGAGAATTTGTCTTCAACCACCCTGTTCACATCGTGCACGAACACATCAGTGTCTCCCTCCTCTCTATTCCTTGCCATCATGCCAGCAGTGTAGATTGCGGTCATCCTCCCTGGAGCCTCCTCGTAGTACCCGGTTGGTGCATCGACCATGATCAAGTCCCATTTCGCCTCATAAACTTCACTTGGCAAACCTTTCAATGCAAGTTGGCACATTGAGTATTTAGGGTCTCCAACGGCTGTGCACTCAGGTCCTTTGCCCACATCCATGAGATTCTCAGCTTGGTTCACCTTGCTGTCATACGTGACATGGTAGGATTCCAGCATGGGAAACCGGCGTCGGATTTGCTCTATCCAGGCTTCATCTTCTTCAAGGAAAACTGTTCGTCCACCATGGTTGAGTGAACTCCACATAAGGCTGTCGTGGCCTAGGCCGAATACCAGGAAGTTGCAGGGTGATTTTTTCTCTAGAACTCTGGCTGTCACCGAGATTTCTTTCAGTGTTTGCTGTGGGGTGATCGCTGAAGTTGAGTAGTGGATGAGAGCTTGGGCTAGAGAACGTGGTATCTTGTCACAAGATGGCGAGCAGTTTGCTGCAGTTCTGCTCTCTTTAATGGCATTAGAGGTTTTAGCTGGTGAAAAGGTTTGTAAGATGGGAGATGGTGAATTTTCCTGGGCAGACGATAAACTCGATCTCAACACAAAAAGAAGGAGAAAAGCAAAGAAAACCCCTAGCAGGAGGACCTTAAGGCTGAGAACTTGACCGGATTTAGGCCTCATGTTGGTCTGAATTGTTTGAAAGATCAGCGGGAGAAACACAAAAAACTGACTGTACCTTTTCCCCTTTCTGATATTGTTGAGCTTTAAAATATCTTTGAAAGATATGGAGCTTTGGAGTAGTAGCCTATTAGGTGATGTATGGTTATCTTTTGGTGTTGCAACAGACAGCTGTTTCATTATGCTTGGACATGAAGCGAAGGAACATCAGACACTTGATGAAGACAAGAGAGCTACAAGGATTCGGGATGAAGCAACACTACGGTTGGCACATCTACAAGTTTGGTGGAATTCATTAGAAATCAGGGTTTGATTTCTGTTTAGGCAAGTTAATGGGATTTCCTGGATATTGACATGGCTCCTTCTTCCAAAATTTCCCAATTTGTTTCTTTGCCCCAACATTATTTTAAGGTGGAACAGATATGGATTATTAGAGAAGCCTTAGTTTTCAGGATTGCTGGTTGACTGATCTTTGCTAACAGTAATGGACTAATAGTTGTGATTGAAAAGGACGTGGAAGTTTGTTTTTCTATTTCAGTTGTTTTGTACTCTAGCCTTTGGTTAATGACGCACCATTATTGTTCATTTCTAGTATTTCTCTGATTAAGAAAGCTTAGATGACAAAACAGTACCAGCCATCAAATAGTGCATTGGTGAATGCTTACTTCCCCTGCTCAATTTACAACGATCGACGGCCTCGTTACTGATGATCACCTTGCTTACCTCTCTTTTGAAAGTGTTTGACGTGAATCAAATTTAAATTGAATTCACTTTTATATCACTTTATTACAAGACTATTACTCTCTCTCTCTCAATAGATTAATTTCATAAAATGTATGACACTTACTATTATAAACTTTTCAAGATACCTTACCTACCTCCCTACCTGCCTGATATGTCTATTTCTTCTAAAATTTTTTATATGACACATAACATCATGCAATGTTTACAGGAAGCAAAGAGGAATTGTGTTATAGGGAGCTCACGATAGCCCTTGCATCCTAAGTACTGGTCGTGTAAAGATAATATGATAAAACGTCATCAGAAACAATTGGCTGACAAGAAATAGCAGGAAGAAATGAGACAAGACAAAATGGAGATACAACAGATGTATTCTGTAAGGACCAGTCTTTGTGGCTATTGTCTTAATACAATGTTAGCCTGTGAGTGAAGTTCACTAAATTCGAACAGATCATTTGACCTTTACAAAGAATGCAGTATACTTAATTGGAAGAAACTTACTTTAGCTGTACAAAGCATAGTTCCAAAAGTTGAACAAAGATAGATAACTCTCCTTAAAGTAA